TTAACCACTGAGCCACGCCGGCCGGGCTGATGTCAGGGCCTTTGATGCTGGCCCCGGGCACCCGTTTCCAAAGCTCTCCAGGTGTTTCCAACCCGAGGACCAAGATGAGAACGCTGGTCTAAGGGGAAGCCGCCGAAAGGCCGTGATGGGCAGAGGCGGGGCCCCGGGGGCCTCACAGGTGGCGGCCGTATAACTCTACTGTGCTGGGCACTCGTCCCATGCCCTTGTCTACGTACATCAGCTCTGCTGCTCCACTGCGTGCACGTAGGTGTTCCAGGGCCCACAGCGCACCGCCGTTACGTGGAGCTGCTGATGCACAAAGTATTCCACCCGGCGGGGCCGGTCCCAGCTGGTGGTGTCCTGGTGGCCGAGCTGTCCGTACTTCCCTACAGGGAAACGAGACCCTTGGCCATGCCCTCCGTGGGCCTTCCTCGGGGCTGCCCCCCGCTGACCAGGAAACCAGCCCCTGGGTGGGCCTGCTGTGAGTTCAGACCAGCCGCCGGCCAGCTGCCTCTCAGGTCCCCAGGGGCTCCGAGCCCAGTGCCAGACCACAAGGTGTTTCACAGATGCTGGCTAACTAATCCCCTAAGACAAACAGTTCTCCAGAAAGGCAGGCGGGCCCTGGCCGGTGTGGCTCAGTGGATAGAGTGTTGGCCTGAGGACTGAAGCGTCCTGGGTTCAGTTCCAGTCAAGGGCACGGACCTCGGTTGCAGGCTTGAACCCCAGTGTAGGGCTTGCAGGAGACAGCCAATCAATGATTCTCTCTCATCATTGATGTTTCTATCTCTCTCCCCTTCTTCTTTCCTCTCTAAAATCAATAAAAAATATATTTTTAGAAATTAATTTATTAAATGTATACGCTGGACTCGTACAAAGAAACTTAGTTTCTGCAAGGAGTGGAAACATGTGGAACCAAGCCTTAAATGCCATCAAGACTCCCAGTGACTCATCTGTTTTTCTGTCTGCCTTGGCTTCTTTCCCTTTGAATTAAATGAATTTTTCTCCAAGAGTCTACTGGCTGATCTGAGTTTGAATCTTAACAGTTTTTCAATTGAATGTAAACTGTAATTTAAAAAATAAAATAAAATTAAAGAAAAAATCGTTTCCCAATTCCAGTTCTAAAATTCTAGGAAAAGGACTCTGATTGGCTTAGCCTGAGTCATGTGTTGCTCATAGACCACTCGACTGAGGCCAGGAAATG